TTAATCAGTTATTTCTGCGCTCAAAACACGCAAGTGCGTCCTCCTGAAAAGTATCCTTTATTTTTACACGAACTTTACCAGAATTTTGCGTCTATTTCAGTAAAAAATTCCTCCGTACCGAATTTCGTGAATTTACGTTTAGCGGTTTATGAGTTGTTACATACGAACAGGGAGACATGAGGAAACTAGCAGAACCATTTCTGAAACTTTCGGTTACGAACACAACCAAAAAACAAAATGATAAACCAGATATAAGGCGATGGAAAGGCAGAGGGGGAAAAAATGTTAAAAATACCGAATATCCGACGCTGTCTAGCGGTAATCCGCCACTGCGTTCCTTGAAAATTTCATCCACTCTGTAAGGAGTGGAGTACAAGGGTGTCAGACTGAGGTTGGTCGGACTGTGGGGGTGACATCGACAGGTCTTACCGGCGATCACTGTGGTTACCTCTTGGTCTCTCAGTGACCTTACTGCCCCAGCGCGTGGAAGTGTCCTTCCAGAGGGAAGGAGACAGCAAATGGCCCTTGCACTTTGGTGTCACATGAACACACGCTGTAGGACAGATAGACTATTATTCCAGCCACTAGTAACCACGAAACATCCATGGCGCTGGAATATTCTGGGAAACGTCCACAAAGACCTCGCAAACTCCCGGTCTGGAAATCGAGTTACATTTAATTAGATCTGAAGGTCTGTGAGGACGGTGTATTATTAAAACAAACTTCTTGGGTATTATCTATCGTCGTAATTTGGTAAAAACGACGTTTCGGAGAAGTGAATCTGTCTATGTCGTCAAGTAATAATTACCTGCACAATAGACTAAGTTCATACCTCAGAACGATGCTATATTCCAGTCTTCGAAACGTCGTTTTAATCAAATTAGGACGACGGAAAATGTCTACGCAATTCTATATTTTCAATTATATCAGATGCAGAGTTTATTTAGCGCCAATGATAGCGTGATTTCAAATACAATGAATTGAAAAGTACACAGAAAGAATACGTAGCGGATTATTTTAATGTATTATCTCAGAATGTAAATTAAGACAGGAAATACATCACGAAAAGAGTACATTCCAGAGAAGGTAGGGAACCACGAATATCAATATAGCTCAAATTTTAACCTACTTTATAAACTTGCATTAAGTAAGATTAATCAATAATGTGAAATAAACGTTGCCCAGGTATTTAAGAAATTCCTTGCAATTTTCGCGAACTGAAAAACGCATTCCAGGTTCAAAACATTCCACTAGTCGACAATAAATCGAGTCCACATACTCACTACCCACCTCCTTTAAGACTCGTTTTAATATTATCCTCCAACATACGCAAATGTTTTCCAAATAATCTCTTCCCTTTAAGTGTTCCGTCATAAACTCTGCATGAGATTCTCATCTCTTTCAAGAGTATCATATGCATATCCCACTGCACCTACAACTGTAAAATCACATTTTAAGGGACGGCATTTCAATTTAATTTTAATAAACCCGAGGCATTTTCCATGACGTTTCGTACTAGTAGCCTAATAATCACTACGCGGCTTCTCAGCTTTTAAAATGGAATGACACATTCCCCACAAGTTAACGGCAGGGTTAAGAACAAATCATATCACAAATTTAGTTCACGTATTTTTTTCAAGGTCATGTCATAGCTGAGGCGATTAGACCGTCTTCTCACCGCTGGAGGATGGGTATTCACATCAATCCTTGTTAAATCTGTGGTAGACAAAGGCACTAGAAGAACTGTATATCCAAATTCTTCTGTTTCCCCATGTAAATATCATTCCACCGCCGTTCCATATTCTATGTACAACTGGGAAAAATGCTCAGGTCCACAGAGAAATGTCTGTCGACACAATAATAACAAATGACAAATCTTCCATTAAGCGATACGAATATATTCGTGGGGGGGGGGGGGGGGATTCATCTGTCAATGGAGACACTGCATGACGAATGTAGTGCCTAACCGAAAGTAATTTTACGTGAAATCTTCTACGTCATAAGAATCTCAAGAAGGAATTTATTTTAAAGCTTTTCCTTCTTAATTTTCTCAAGAAATAACTTCCCTACTCGAAACTAAGGTAAGCGGTTGCTACGAGAACTTATCTAGAAACATAAAACATATCGATCCATTTATTGGTAATTTTATAGGTTATAACTATTTTTTTTCATAAAACCAACATGTACTCAAACAAGATGCCTTCAAAAGGAACAAAGCCTTAAGTAATAATAAAAAAAGAACGGATAAAATTCCTTAGCAACCACAAGACTCACTTTTTCTCTCTAACTTCCATTTCACTTTCCTCCTGTCGCTTTAGATCTGAATATTAAAACATACACAGAACTACGTGAACCAAAAGAGATTTAGTAAAAGAGAATGGATAATACTGCATATTGAGGAGCTTCATAATTTATATTCATTATCAAATATTAACAGAATGATAAAATTCAGGAAAATGAGCTGAGGGGAAATGAAAAATACTTACAGAATTTGCACTGGAATACCGAAACGATTAGGTTATTTTCTAACCCAAAGCATAATCGAGAAAAACATTAACATGCGACCAGACTACACAGCGCAACAACCCAGAAGGCAGAAATCTTCATACTAAGCATCGCCCTGATGACGGAGGGAGTATGACCTCAGAAACGTTGGTAAACATCGACCAGACTACACCGCGCAACAACCCAGAAGGCAGAAATCTTCATACTAAGCATCGCCCTGATGACGGAGGGAGTATGACCTCAGAAACGTTGGTAAACATCGACCAGACTACACCGCGCAACAACCCAGAAGGCAGAAATCTTCATACTAAGCATCGCCCTGATGACGGAGGGAGTATGACCTCAGAAACGTTGGTAAACATCGACCAGACTACACAGCGCAACCACCCAGAAGACAGAAATCTTCATACTCGACGCTGTGAAAACCTCAAATCTTAACTTCCTTTCACCTGAATTTTTTACTTGTTACATTATTCTCCCGTGCAAAAATCTCGCAGCTTCGACACATTAGCTTAACCCTGCTGAGCCACACCGTCCCCCTTCGCCCCATGTCCTGGGCAGTCACGAGTCTTTCATGTCGTTATTAATCATCTGAAAACCCGCATTACGTTCAGCTGACCAGCAATTTAGCAACAAAGAATTCAGTTTAAAATAGCCGGCTGGTAATACGGTAACGCCTTGTGGAAGGTGGCGCAATATTAAAAACCACATGGAAGATAATTAGGAAATCGGTCAAAATTTACGGACAGTTTGCATAGTAAATGCTTAGATTAAAGGATAATATTAAAATGTATTTTAGATAAATAAGGCGTAAAGATGTAAAATAGATTTAAGTAATTCAGAATAAAGATTACGCCTTGTAGCCTCGTAGAAAGTGACAAACGTTTCAGAGGTTCATACAGCCTCCATCATCAGGAAGATCATAGACCTGCGCATGGAGGAGATTAGAAATGCTTACGAATTTGTAATCGGTAGACCTCAGGATAAAAATAGATTTGATATTCCTATAAATAGATGAGAGAATAAAAATAAAAAATATTTTATGAGACAATCTGAAGTGGCGATCTCAATTAAGTTGGCTCAAAGCGTGGACTATTCGCGATCATAGTGTCAGGCCTAATTAAACTTAAAGTTCAGTAAAGAACAAAGAATTTTTTGACCAATTAAGAAAACTTTGGAATTTTAACAAATGACTCTACTTCACTAAGTTAACGTGGACATACAATTTTTTTATAATTAAACAAGTGTGTGGAAAACTTGCCATTTTAAGACAACTGTGATTTAATTACAGTATCCGTTCTTGTTTTTTGTTAATTTACCTGCACTTTCTTTCCATTTAACGTCAAACCCTGAATGTGAAAATCTTTAATCATTCACAAAGTAGTGTTTGCACTTATCAGAACGTCTAACCCATTATACGTTCAATCACATGTAAAAAGACGACTCCAATTTTCTCGATGAACGAGACATTAGTGTAAAAAACTGTGTAGAATTTCTGTATAAAGTAAAACTTTAAAATAGTTACTAATGTGATCTCACTGAAAAAACATTAATCTTGTACTAAGACTAGTGGCGTAATTGACCTGGACTGACAAAAATTTTGCTTTCGTCTTCATCGCTAAACACGTGTCAAGCGATTCTTTGTGTTCAGACTAAGCTTGGGTTTTGTATTAATGGCAACGTATCCATTACATAACGAGAGTACCAATTGTTCTCGACTTGTATCCTCCCAACTCATTCTACCCTTCCATGGTAATTAACCTCCAGACCTGCCACCTTCTCCACTCCAAAATTCCCATTGTTCCTTGCCATGCATATAGTAAAAGCTTATACGAAAAAGCTTGTCTATTGTCCCAGATGTATCCAGATGTTAACTATGAATAGTTGTGCTAAAATATTCTACATCATACAGCTCAGAAAATTCGTCTACTGCAATATCTTATTGCAGTAACAGTGAGTAGCTCAAAGATGAACACTTTATTAATAAGCTACAAAAATTCAGCGAAATTAATGAGAAATGTATAACACAACCAATAAAAATTCTGAGAATGAAAGGAAACTTATAAAAACTCTTCGTTTACTTTAGAATTTAACAAATATGACATTTAAACCAATATTTAATAACATCTCTTTTATTTCCTTCTTCTGTATTACAGGAATAGGTTTTAGGCTTGTCCAGAATCAATCCAAAATTCCCTGTTTTCATGTGGACATTAATCAAAATAGCTTTTCAAAAGTATAATTAAGTATTGTTTACATATCTTATAAACATTTTATACAAGCACACTTTCTTAAATATAAAGAAATAATCATTAACTAATACCACTATCTGAATAAATGTTTGCATTTTTTTGTTATTTTTATCATTTAAGCAGAATCTTTATTTATATATTTTCCCCTATTCCTTGGAAAAATAAAGTTTTAATTTAACAAATTAGCCCTAGAATAAGAAGACCTAATTTTATAACAATTAATTTATTTATTTTTGTTCCCCCCACACGTTTAATATTGTTTGTAAGTTCCCCATGTTGACTGTTCTACTTCTATTTACAGACTGCAGACGTATTTGTTGGCGCTGGTCTCAGACACGACAATTTTGTTCTAGAGACGGAAACGGCTGACCTAAGGAGACAGGTTTACAGAACACATCAACGTATTACAGTCAGAACCTGACAGCCCAGTTCCAGACTTACAAAAAGCCATTCCAAAATTGAAGACAGAAAGAACATTCACAGACCCAACACACGTGTAGCTTCAAGAAAATAGTCCCCACTTATGTGACGTCACATGACTCGAGTGAAGGATGGAAAGCTGGGTAAAAGCCGAAACTATACGGAAGAAACCGAAGTGGTGTTCTTGTTAGGTGTTTACGATGATTGCCAGGGAAACATTAAGGATATGAACTGTTAAAAAAACCCGGAACGTCTTGGCAAGAAAAAAAACAATATCTACAAAAAGTCTTAGTTTTCTGGTGTATGGACAAGCTTTCAAATAATCTCAACATCTGCACCACAATATGAACAGTACGCGGAAAGAAGCCTCCAGTGTTAGCAATTATCGAAAAGTCCCAAGTAAGCGCAAACAAAGATTGTGTGTAGGGTCGGCGGAATAATAGATAAGTTGGTATCCAAGCACGTCTTAACGCAGAACGAGGGGTGTCTATATTTTTCAATAGGATATTTAATCTCTATTCACGTAATTATTCGCTTTCAAATTTGTTGCATACAATTACCATTCTTACTACAGGAAGAAATTAATAACAAATTTGACATTCTGTATTAAGGAATTTAAAAATTAATTTCTGTTTAATCCTATTACGTCTTATTTTATTTTCTTATGACTTCAGCCTATGTGGTCCTATTATTCGAAACTAATCAACTAACTCCGTAAATGGCAACATATAATCAGAGGTTTCTTATAATATAAGTACCTCACAGAACGCTAAATTTCCCATCCTTTTATTAATTTTATTAGAAATAATAATAAAAAAATGTGTAATTTTGTATTTATTTTATACCCTTCTATGTTAAGATAATTAAAGATTTAAAAAAAATTAACTCATCCACATTTCTTTGGTTTATTTAGGAAGTATCCAATACCACTTTATGCAAATGACGTGTAGAATCTCTTTTCTTCAATTTGACCTTTAAAAATTGCTGCTGATATTTTATTCTGAGGGGGCTATAAACCCAGAATAATATGTTTCTTTACTGATAAAAAATCTCAGGAGATTGTGTTTAAAAGATGAAAGGAAAAAAAGCCTCTAATTTGGAATGTGACCTGATTGTTTGCAGACCACACGAAGGCTGCCAAGTCATGTTCGCCTCATTGTTGTAGATTCGTCCGCTCTTCAAAACAATGGACCTGACTTCCGATTAGCAACGGAAACTCTGCAACGTAGCTTTTATTTAATCTACAATCAACTAGCGATCGAACCATTAACTACACACTGGTGAAGACTTGAATTTTGGTGTTTTGGATTGTAACCCCGTGGGGATTTCTGGGTAAATACAAATGTTTCGGGGCAGCATATCGCCTCCATCTTCATTTCTGCCCTAAAACTTAATGTAACTACATCATAATCCACATACCACGACTCTCATAACCCAAATCGACATTTTATCATACGATCAATATTTAAGATTTACGTTTACAAATTCTCTGATATTATATAAACTAGAAATGTCTTTTCAAATCCAAATATGTCAAAGTTTCACGTTATGACGCATAAAACAATGTTCCATGATGATGTTTAATGTAACAACAACATGCTAGCAATTCTTTTATTTGTATAAAAGAATTAATTATGTAAATTATGAAGATAGACGTATGAATATTCACGTACATTCTAATAAAAGGTTTCGGATTAAAACCGAATGGTTTTCTGAATCTGTCAGAAAAAAATCCTGTCAAATCGTGCATAAAGTATGCGTAGAAAGACGTAAATCCCTTGATAGCATTTTCAGTTCGCAGTTAAAATATTCATAAGGGTTGGAATGGGAAGGAGGGAGGGGTTAGCTGAAATATATGTTATGTTAATATAGTCTACTCGAATTTAAGGCATAGATGAACAAAGTGCAAATAAGAATCTGTGTGCAGAACTAAAATAGTACTTCCCTGCTGCACAGATGTACAGAGCTACGAGTATTAATATCTTACCTAACCCTTTAAAGCCAAGTGGTAATTATATGTACCTCATATTTCGGTAGTCAATAATCATGTATTTTTGTACGTACAGATTTCATATGAGTTTTAGTATAACCAGCGATTATTTAATTAAACTGTATTAACCAGTTAATCTTTTTAATATTGAAGTGTTGTGTTTTCTTCGCGGTACGGACTGAATTCTTAAATTGAATTGAGACGAGATATTTAAGGTGTCAAGACACTTCCCTCGGTTCTGAAGCAAATTTTGAATTGGTACTCAAATATCTGTCATACGGCTTTCCAATATTAAAGCTGGTGGTACATATAGTTACCGCTGGGCTTCAAAAACGTTGATGCCACAATCATGTCTATATGTCCCTCTCTATTTTAAAAGTGAGCTGCAGAACGAGCCAGCCTCAGAGCACTCGCTATTCTTTAACCTGTAACACTCGCGTATAAAAAGCAATTCCGATAAAATCCACCTTATCCTATCGGTACCTTGAAGACAGTATCTTGGGAGAACTGGATGTTTGAAAAGAATGAAAATAGATGCGTAGTGGGATCACTTATAATATTACTATTCTCTGACTCCACTTCTGGTTCTACTGACTTATGTTTTCTTACGCAGAAATTGGCTTCCTCCAAATTGATTGGGATTCCGTTAAGGGACAGACGAGTTACGGCCCATTTATTCTCCCTAAGAGGATCTTCACTGAGTCGAAAGCTTAGAGGCCGTCGTAAAGCGCTGTGTGTAGACAGTAGATATATGCTAAGCGCAACAAAAGTGTAAAATAGGATCATACTATCCCGAGCTCAGAAATGTATTGCTTGGAAGTAAAGCCACCTAAATCAAGTTACTTTCTAGTTCATCATCTGTTCCTGCTTCTTCTTCGTCGTCATTTTCTTGTCATTCATCCTATATACTTCTATCTTTTTAGTCATCTTCACATTCCCCGCCTTCCTCTTTCTTCACATTATCATATTTTTCTATCCAACATTCTTCAGCCTTAATCTATCAAGTTTGTTTACAATATTACTGGCATCTACAAAGCGTTCACTGTTGAACGAAACTGTCACTTCTAAGATACCGGTAGGAATTGCTAACAAACAGTTGTCAGTGGAACCACGGTTCCGGAGAATTTGACGTAAATACGTCTATACGGAAAGGAAGTTTATTTATTGGCTTTATTCTAAATATTTCCTTTATACATGCTTTACATTTGAGATAAGTTTGATTAAGACATTGTTTATTTAACTTCAATTAGTTACGCTTAAGATGGGTCTGTGGTAGATGAATGTAATGTAAAGTAATGTAATGAAATGTAATGTAAGGTTAGGTAATGTAAGGTAAGTGGAACGAAAAAGTGTAACAACGTTTCTTAGGTAACAAAAATGCCGAGGAAATAGATGTTCCTTAGGTAACCATTATTGTCGATTTGTTGATAAACCATTGTTACACTTTTTCGTTTCAATTTTCGTTCCACTTTTTGCCGAATGACACTGACCCTAAAATATAGACGTATTTACGTCAAAAAACCAAAAAAAAACAAAAAAAAACGAATTTACTGTTTTCATAAAGCGAAACTAGTCGCATCGGGTAAACATTCTATAACATGGTGGTGAGACATACAGTTCCAGCCGGGAGCCTAGAAGTGACAGTTGCGTTCAATTTTTGTCAGTAAACACAATCTAGTAAAGTTTATAAAAATATCAGAAACATAGATTCAGAAATTTATTTTGTGTTCGGCACCAATATTTTTTAAAAATACAAAAACATATTATGATGTTACATAAAATGTTTTAATTGAATATCCTTTTTAAAATTATAATTACATCCACGCCTAGGTCATCCAAGTTGCCTTAGACTTCACTTTAGGCGCGTTTCTTATGTTCTCATGCAGAATATGTGCCCATCATTCCATATTCCTTGATTTGATAGCCCTAAAAATAAAATAGAACCTCCTCATTATGCAAATTCCTACTTAAAAAATAACATATTAAGTGTCTAAAAATAAAACGATTTATAAGTACTTTTCAATACGATTATATTCTAAGTTACTTTATTTGGACTGCCTAATGAGTGTGTCTGTTCATTACGAAAATTTGATACGGAATCCCAATCAATTTGGAGGAACACACCTTCATCTGTTTGACCATCGTCTGTCTTCCATCGTTGTGCAGACGAGACTTTCAAGCAACAGATTAATTCCCAAGGTTTGATTCTTAGATTTACGCGACTAATAAAAATATATTAATATTTGATTATATACACAGATATTGTAAATCTCCTCCATTAAATCCGTGGAGACTTTAAAGGCAACATCACGACGATGTTCATTTGTCATTCGCTGCAACAATAACTGATGATGACTGGTCTCAACTTTGTGTTGTATGCGTTCGTACCTAATGTTTGCCTGGCTTCTGTTGGTAGTAAACTTAGAGCAGATATTAAACGCATGCAAATCGCTAACCGGGCTGCACTTGATAAGGACTTCTCCTTTATTATTGCTACTTTTGCCTTCCCTTTCTACACACACAGAATATAGGTCTTGTGTTAGTATGGCTGGTCGACTCGAGATTTTGCTCCTGTTGCTGACAGCTCGAGCTTGGGAAGGGACTGCGGTGAATTGTTGGTGTCTGGTGGTGGCATCTACAGCATTCCATTAGTACTAGACTTCTTCCCCTCCTTCCACTTCGTGTAATTCTGGGGCCGGTTTCGTGTTAAAGAATAGGGCAGAAGTTAAATATTGCATAAAGCAGAAATTCATACAAAGTTCAATTTGAGTTCACAAAGCTCAAGAAACGAACAGAATTTTAAGCTAGTTACAATTCTGAAAGGGTGACAATTAAATGTGGTGTGTATTTTCTTTAGGCTTCAAGATAGAAATGTTAATTTTTTTAAATTTAATGTAAAACAGCGATTGACGAACATGTTAGTCGCTAAAAGTGTCATGAAAGTACCCGGAAAAATGTATATTGGTTGATTTCTTGTCGGTAATCAACATGTACGAAACGTCAGTGCATTGACACCAAAGATACTTTCATAAAACAATAATGAGAACTTCTGAGGTGAGAACTGATGTAGAATATTTCAATAAAGCGTGGTAAAAATTTGTTCATTTAGCCAGAAAACTAAATAAAACTATTTACAAGTTTCAATTAATTCTTCAGGACCCTGTCGGGGACTACACAAATGACGACTGGTTTTTGCGCATGGTTTGTGTTTATCTGGGCGTGTGTTACCTACATGTTTCTATTCTACTTCAATTCCCTTGCTGAATAGAGCGAGGCAGGTTCCCTAACAACGCAGGCGTGTGGGTAGATGGCCCCTCGAGACGGCTTGCTGCCCGGTCAATCCACACTCGCATGCTACTGGAAAACAGAAGACAACCACTGCGCAATGCAGTCTCTAGATCTCTAGAGAAAAAAGGTAATTATTTCAGAAAACAGCATTTTCTGTCTACACGGAATTTAAATCAAGCACTTTTAGGATGGAACAGAATACTGTAGGGATTTTACGTTGCAGTGCCAAAACATGTAACTCAGTAACACGGAAGAAATTACGCCGTCTTTAACAGGTCTGAGTAACAATTCATGTTTAATAAAATTATTTCTTTCTTTTCTTAGACAGATCACATTTCCTTTAGTAGAATTTTTTTTAAATATTTGTGCTTCACTGAGATATAAAATAATTAAGAAAATTTATTCTGAATCAAAAAGAAATCGCTGTCAAACATTTGCGAAAGTTTCCTTTAAAGTATAATTTTTAAGTTTTCCTTGCACGATATGTACGAAATTCACTGTAAGACTCATGTTTGTTAATCTCACTGTACAAAAATTCAGCCTCTGAAATTACAAAACGGATTTTTTTTAAAAAAGTGATATTGAGTTGTATACCGATAATTATCGATATCTATTTAATTTAAATATTAAATATTAGTTAATGAAAATGGTCTAATAACTGTCCATCTTTATAAAAAGTCTATTGACTATATGTAATCAATTAACTTCCATACAGAAAAGTCTTTCTTGAGAAGCTATTAATACGCTTAGCTAGTTAAGTAATTTCCATCTTCTTGTAAAGTCCGAATATCCATTACCATGTTCACAACAGACCGACATCAATCACCATTATTTTTATTTATTTGTAGTGTTCTGTCTGACGACAGGTCCATATGAACAATATCCGACTGGGATCTGTTCATATACGTTCTTGGCAGATGATCCAGAAGTGGTTTGCCATTGCCTTCTTCTGTGTGTGAATGGAGTAATTGTTGGGATGCCACGGAGAAACCGGGGAAGCCCCCGGAGGAAAACTCCGTGTTGCCTAGACCACGGCCTTGCCCAACACAAGTTATAAATTCGGGCACCGCCGGGAATCGAACCCGAGACCCCAGGATTACAAGGCCAGCGTTCTAACCGCTAGACCACCGTGGCTCAATCACCATTATGAGAAGATAAATAAATTCCGCACCCTCCGAACTTATTTTAAGTTACGTCTTATATTATCCCCATCAACGTCTATGTCTTCCAAATGTTCTCTTTCCATCAGGTCTTATGATTAAACACTGTGCGAGTTTATAATTTCCATCATACATATACCATCTGCCTTGTCTTCGTCGATTCGATTTTCTTACGTATTTAATTTGAAGTATCAACCCACGTATTTACATGCATCGCAACGAAAGAATCATTGCCATATTCATAATATTAAATCGAAGTATATTAAGGTTAATAACAGTTTATGTAGTACACTAAACTGTTAAGTGCACCTGCACATTTTCGCTCTTATAGTTTGGGTTTTAATTGAGGTTCGATGCACTTGCAGGACTTTGCACACAATGGATTTAACACCTGTAGTGAGAAGCAGACTATACAATTCCAAAACGTTCCTGGAATTATTTATAACTACGAGAAACAAGAGAAAATAATGGATCCAGTCACTGTAACACCAATGATGAATAACAAGGGTCCACGTAACAATGAACGTTAATTTAGATGATCTCTTACAGATAAAATTAAATTGTGGGTTACGTTTTTACGTACTTTTTTTAGCTCGAGAAAGGATACCCAGTGCTTGGAATGCTCATGCACTAAAACAAAGAGGATATTTCAGAAAAGTGAATCCTGGGTTATTATACAAAATGTGTCATATTTTGAGAGAAGATTGTCAACCAACATTATTTAATGGAACGAAACTTCAAGTTAAACATTTAACACACGTTATGTCTTGCAGATTTCAGCATTTTAATTGAATAAATACAAGTGAATGCTGTATTTTCGGTGCCACGAAACTGGATTTGAATAAAACAATACCAGATTCTGACATTAATCAAGTTACTGGCGAAGAAGCGTAAAGTTTTCTCGATGAGCTTTATCAGTTAAATGAACTCGGTTCCCGGTCTGTAAATATGCAAAGTCGCGGTAACCATTCCACTCAGCTCCGAGCTGGGGAAGACAGCCGTTTCCTGGGTTGTAGCGCCGTGTAGTTTGGTACAACGTTTCGGAGGTGTTTGCTTCTGCCATCAACAGGGCGATGCCTCATGAGAGAGGCAGCAACCATCTCGGAAACGTCGGTATGATTGTACAAGACTACATGGCGCTACAATTCAGAAAAAGTGTGAATGCGATGTTTATAATAGTCACTTTGAGAACTTGAAATTCTACTGTAGAGACTAAGGTGTATATAGCTAGAGGCGGACATGTGAGTCTAGAATACTGCGCCCTCTTCGGAAAGGCTTGCCTTTGATTGTTTTTTTTCATTATGTTACTCCATTATGTTATTGCTTTCATTTATTTATGGGTAGAAGACGCTTCCAGAACCAAGTTTATTTGCCCCCACTCAGTAAATTGAGATACTGTTTTCACTTTTATCATTTTGTACAGTTTTCAAAAAATATATGTTCACATACAACAAACCGATTCTGATTTTCTGTGATAAATATTACTCCAAGATGCTGTAGATTATTATTATTGCTGTTTGTTCCTGAGTTTTAAAACTAGCGAACATGCCAAGTATTACATCTATAAATAATTTTAAAAAACCAACAGACTATTGCATATGGGTCCATTATATGTCTATTATAACAGGCATCTATAACTGGAATGTACATATTCCCTTTTAATTACAAATGTTCTGTGCTTTTACGAATGTTATTTGAGAGAATCCAGTTGAAGAGATGATTAACATTACATTTCAAAATATTTCCAAATCTTCTTAATTCCTTCTAAATAAAGCTAGTAATTCTCCGAATTTTCGGTGTCCTTTTATAAATTAATCCTATATATTGACTGCTTTAGTAATCAGAAATACTTTACTTTTTTAGTTTCGTATAGTTGTCAGTGTAAACAGCGTAAACAAATTGTACGTTTTAATGGTGAAGTGTTGTTTTCTTCGCGGTACGGACTAAAATTTTAAATATGATTTGTATATTGTTTACGATGGTTTCATGTCTATTTCTACTACCAGTACTCTTCACCAATTATTATTAAGCGTAAAAATCGAAATAAAGTTCACCTAACTCCATTACAAATCAACCTTTATCCTCTAAAAGACGAATGATGATCAGGTAATTTTACCTAGTACCAGCGTAACAAATATGTTCTCTGTGACGGCTACTCAGAGAGACATGCGTAGAACCAACTTGTACGTAGAACGCATCTGCCGTGCTATAATTGAGTTTTTTCAATGTTCAATTTTATTTTCTTTCATCTCAGAGGCCTTGTAAGTTTTTAATCAGTGTTATTATACTGTATTTTGTAATCCTGCGGTCTGTGGTTTGTCTGATACTGTTATACACTATAGTATCTACGTTCTGCGGTTAGAAAACTTGAAAGCACAAGCTAAAATCCGAACTACAAAGTAGAGCGTTTACAAAAGAGAGCAACGCAAAATCGAGGAGAACTCAGCTCCAAATCACGTCTTCAAAGACATCAAAGGAGAAATAAGAATTTAGTTACTGTGTTTCATACCGCGTTTAATATACTTGTTGATATCACATTCGTTTATATTATACATAAATTAGTTTATATATACACAGTTTTGTAAAATCACAGTTGGCTGCTTAAATAATTACGACGAGTGCTAAATTTTTAACCTCTGTTAACTGAGCCAATGGTTCCATAATCCAATATCAAAGCCCACCACTGGACACGAATTCTGAACTAGTTCCAACCTAACCTCCCACTTTATAAATCTAGTTTTCTAGTATTCCTCTTAATATAATCGTCCCTTCTAAAATATCCAAACGTTTGTACCCCAGATTCTTCCTAATCAAAATTTTATAATCGACACGTAAATTTTCAGTTTCTCCACCCAAGGTAAAAGTAAAGCTTCTTCAACTCACAACCTTAACACCAACGGCTGATTTGTTTGAACCCGAAACGCATTTGATTGTTTCCTGTTATGCCCAAATTGTTTCTGACATATTTGTTTTTGTAAACTCCTTGTTTTCAAATTCTTCAACATATATTTTAGTATAATAAAATCTAGGATGATAAGGTGGCCTGAGAATGTAGTAGACGAGGCATGGGGAAACGAAAAATGCATACAAAGTATTAGTTGGAAATCCACAGTATTAATCTTCCGGGTTCAAAACACGACGGAAGATTTTTTGATTAGCTTACCGATTACCAGCTTTCATGGACTCTTCTATGGAGTTAGTTAGCTCTTAAACAAAAGGAATATACACTTTTCTCTAAAAACGAAAGTCTTAAAATTAATGTGCAAGTCTCTGTTACCCACTTTTCTTAGAAGAATCTATGGTAGTCCTACCTTGTGCATTATTTAGAACTGGGTAGGAAAACTAAGAGCTTGTTTTAATTTACTGGAGGGATTCTGACGAAAACGACACACTAGTAAGCAGACTGCATTCCAGTGAATGACTTCTTCGTGGATGCAATTTTGACTTCATGCTCTCGTTCTATAATATTAAAACTTGCCCTCATTTTCAAATAGTTTCGGAGGTGTTTGCTTCTGCCATCAACAGGGCGATGCCTCATGAGAGAGGCAGCAACCATCTCGGAAACGTCGGTATGATTGTACAAGACTACATGGCGCTACAATTCAGAAAAAGTGTGAATGCGATGTTTATAATAGTCACTTTGAGAACTTGAAATTCTACTGTAGAGACTAAGGTGTATATAGCTAGAGGCGGACATGTGAGTCTAGAATACTGCGCCCTCTTCGGAAAGGCTTGCCTTTGATTGTTTTTTTTCATTATGTTACTCCATTATGTTATTGCTTTCATTTATTTATGGGTAGAAGACGCTTCCAGAACCAAGTTTATTTGCCCCCACTCAGTAAATTGAGATACTGTTTTCACTTTTATCATTTTGTACAGTTTTCAAAAAATATATGTTCACATACA